GACAGTGCCGAGTGTTTTCACTGTTCTAGTAACAACCCAAGGTCTGAAAGACTGACCTTTTGTGCACCGTCGTAACATTGTTTGAAATTACTGCCCAGTGTTTTCACTGTTCTAGTAACAACCAGATGAGGTGAGCTTGCTTGGACAGTCTGACCTAGGAACTATTGCATTCTAACTTGCTTAGCCATAACTCCTCCGCTGCAGGCAATCACTCGTGGTTAACCTGGGGTGTTTGTTTTTTTTTGTTGTTTCGGCGACAGTTTCGCCGAATTTTGCACTGAAACTGTCGTATTGCCCTGAGTTTTTGCTCTTTTTCTTGTTTTTTTTTTTGTGTGATATGCAGGCCTTTAGGGTTATGTCATGTGTCCACTTTTGACATGTTTGTGGATCGATAACGAAAAAGTTGGCATTCCGGAAAGTGTTTTTCTGTTTTTTTGTTTGTTTTCTTTGGCCTGGCTTTTTTTTTTTTTTTTATGTTTGCACGATGGGCCCATGTAGTTTGTTTTTGAAAAAACGTTTGCTGAATCTTGCACCGAAACTGTCAGCGAAAACTGTGAATTTTTTTTCCAGCCCTCCGTTAACCGCATGTGTGAAGTTCCTAGGAGCTTGTCTTGTCTGTTCCCAGAGGACAATGTTGCCCCGCTTCCCCTGCACTTCTTCTGTCATCTATGATAAAGTTGTTTAAATTTGTTTACATTTGTTTAAATTTGTTTAAATTTGTTTAAATTTGTTTAAATTTGTTTAGAAATTAAAAGGGATTCAAGCGGGAAGTGCTTCACATGGACTACCTAGCTCATACTTTCTGAAAATATTCATGTTGTTGAGGCCATCATCACACGACCAATGCCAGAGGCCTACTTGTGATCCAAAACTGCTGTGCGAACTATCAGGCACTCGGGGCAGCTCACTCTACAGGCACAGCTTGGTGGTTGCTATGTTACTTCGTGATGATGGCCTCATTCAGCCTGTCAAAGATGTTTGATTTTCTGCATGCAGCTACTAGAAGGGGCATTCTCCGGACGACATATGAAAGAGTTCGAACACGTGGTTCCTTGGGCCATACAGTCTACACTGTGCACACTGTGCAGCGCTAGCAAATGCGTCCCTTCTCTGTCCACTTTGTTCTTCACTCTTCTGACTTGTCTAGCCTATCTTCAGTACATAACCCCCTGTGAAGACTGCATGGTCAGGTAGCGAGCGAGCAGCATCAGCAATGAAATCAAACTGTGGCATTAACAACAAACGGTTACAAAGTTCCATTGTCATGAGCCATCTACAGTCTTCCCCCGACTACAACATACGGTCATTACAGCTGAATTTGGGGCATCTTTCAGTCTAAATAGTAAATACAGCTATAATGACCGTACGGCGTACGTTGTATTCGGGGGAAGAAGATAGTGGTTAGATGCTGGATCTATTATTTCACTGTGGTGAAAGGGAGTCGTGTGTACAGAAGGTTCTTGAGTATTTCCGCAAAACTTGTCTAGAACGTTCGGCTTTTGATGTCCAGAAGTTGTTTGGGATGTTTACACGCATGCAGGAACAATATATTCAAGGAGATCAGCGAGGATTCAGGACCTCGGCAATGCCAAGAAAAGGCCCAGCCCGCCCTAAGTGAAGGCGGGCCTGCAAAAAATGAGCCCCCTGCCTGAGTATAGGCCTATATGAGCAGAATTGGGGGCCTCCGGGTGGTTGCTGCACACAGAGCATCTTCCACTAACCTGGTAGGCTTAACCTCCAGGTGAGTTGCAGATTCTGGGCCTCGTCGAGTGCAGATTCTGGAAAGGCTGTGGGCGCAGGGTACTGTAACTGGGCGAAGCCAGGCCAGAGGTTGAACGGCCTTTCCAGCCAGCACAAAATGCTGGAGGCCGCAGTCTCCGCAGCCTCCAGACACATTTGGGCATCGTGACGATGCGGCAGTGCTGCTGGAGCAGTAGCCGAGCGCTGTGCCCGAGGAGGAAGCTGCTGTGGTGGCAGCGAGGAAGAAGAGGGAGAGCGCCAGCCATAGCCAAGGCTGAGCGCTCCGTTGCTGGATGGTGAAAGTTGCGGAGGTGGTGGAAGAAGGGCGTGGGAAGAGAAGAGATTAGGGCAGTGGGACGAGTCACGTACGTGGTGTTCAATCAGAGTCTTCAAGCGTCATTGGGCTTCTTCAACGTGGCACCTGTTGTAACACAGTAGGCTAGGTTGATAGGAGTGTCTGTCTGTAGCCTGGGCAGATAGCCGCCAGTAGCGGGCTACATTGTCGTTGCATTGGTGATTGGAGTCGTTGGGAGGGCTTTCATTACCAACGGACTTCAATGCTTTGCTCGTTCCGATTTGGTGTGATCTATCTGGCTTTGCATTCTGCTATCGGTTTCGGCTCATTTCATTGGTATCTGTTTGGTCTTCTGTGAGATATTGCAATTTTGAATTTTGTTTATTGCTGTGCACATTGCTTATTTCCTCTGAAGTTTGAAGATAACGACTTTGATTATCGTCAAATATATCGCTAACTGTAGTCTGGAATAGGAGAACTTGAAAAGTTGCTCCATATTTTCCACGTGTCAACAACAATGTCAACAACAAATACCGCAACTACAGTGATACCAAAACAACAACATGAATCATGAATGAGAAAAGCATTGACGAGAACAATATTTGAGTTTTCTTGTATGACAACATCTACAACGACAACAGCAAACAACAGCAAAGGTGGCAATGGCGATGGGAGCAGCACCGAACAGCAGGATGCAGTGAGAGCAACAGAAATCGTCAGAAGCAGAAGAAGTGAAAGCCGCAGGAGCAAGTCACAGTGTGCAGTTAGAGCAGCAAGAAGCGGTACCCGCAGATCCAAGGTGCGGGATGCAGCAGCAGGAGCAGGAGGAGGAGGAACAGCGACAATTTGTTATGATCCCGTGTATCGTGTAGCTGTCCAGGATGATGGGATGGAGAAGGTGATTGACGACTCAGTAGGGCAGATCCGGTCTGGACATAGTGGTTCGGTAGCTGTTAGTGCCAGTATAGCTTCAGATTAAGACCGAAAGCATGGGAATAGCGGAGGTCGGGATGCGCAGTAGGGGTGGCAGTCATAGGGTGACTGTTTCTCAGTACAAGGGTCCAATTTTTACAGAGGGCTGCAAAAAGTGAGGGCCAGACTGGAGAAGGAAATGGTCGAAAAAGGGAATGACAAAAGTCAGGATGAGAGGTGGGGTTATGGGTCTAAATAAATCCACTGTTTTTCTGTGTGTTTCTTTGTATGGGTCTACTTTTAGAGAGGGCTGCAAAAGTGTGGGCCAGAGTGACATTCAATCCCTTCCGTACGGAAGTAATCGATGCTGTCAGGGTTCCCCAGGCCGTAACGTGGGGAAGCGTTAAGTGTGGGTTGTTTCTGACGCGTTCGGGATGCTGGACCCGGGTTCCAGCAGGTGCTGCTCCCCACCAATAGAAAAGAGCTTTATAATTCCAAAAAAAAAAAAAAAAAAAAAAAAAAAAAAAAAAAAACAGTTGGCAGGCACAAGTTTGAAACCACACAGAGAGACATTGACAGTGTTTTTTACATTTATGGTACAACTCGCAGGTTGCTGCGAACCTTAAGTGCGGGTTTTTGCAAGTTTCTCTGGATATGGGAGGGCAACAGTTAGGGCATAAATATGAGAGTTGGAACTAACAGAGTACCTTATCTTGTCTGGTCTTGTCCTCGGTGTTGTGTTGTGTCGTCAGCTGTGTGTGTACGTTTTGCTGAGGGAAGCTGGCCCTACTGCACAGAAGACGGGACAGGGGAGACGGTCCTACAATGCTGGAAAAGCCTGGAAAACATTTCGATACCAACTGTCAAATTCGAAGTCTTGCATGGGAACTGAGGATGATTCTCCCTGAGCAGGCTGAAGCAGCCAACAGAGAGAGGTATCCTTAGGGAATGCCAGCCTGTTGAGTTGCGCTATGGAACAGACAGCAGCTGGCATGCCATGTGACTCAGTAACCGAGGTTTGCGATGTGCCGTCCCGTGTGGGTTAGTCATCCCACAGGCCTGCCATCGCGGCCTGGAGGCATGTTTGTGGAAAGGTGCAAGGGTGTGCGCGGGCTGCGTGGCCCGCTCGTATTGTACGTTTGCGATCAACAGTTCATATTGTAGGATTGTGCGCTGTTGAAAGGGTGTGTGGATTCAGGTGGGGGGAATGTCTTATGGCTTGCCGAGAATGGGGACCATGTGCCGCTGTTCACGCAAGCACCTTTGGCTGGTGTTGCGGCAGGTTGTGGCATCCTACAGCTATGCAACCTCCGCAATGTCCCCCCATTCCCTCTTGCCCTGTTGTTTTTGTTCTCAGTCGATGGTGCGAGCAATAGTGGCTGCTTTCGATTGCGGTAGCGAGGGGGCCAACTTCGCTTCTGCGGCTTGTAGCATGGCTGTTGGTGCGGAAAACCGGCGAGGTGTGAGTCCGCATCATCCTCATCACTCTGAGATATGGAAGGTGGATGGGGAGGAGGTCCCCAAAACTCTGGAAAAGAAGCCTGCGACACCATCGCTTCAAATATGCCACTGCTTGGCGTACCGGTGTCTCGGCGTTATCAAAGCAGAGATGGAGGAGTTGAGGCCCTTGAGGGGTCAGATGGATTTGAGTTGTACCCTGCCTACCATCTTTCCTGCTATTCAGCTGAGAAGGGTGGTGCTTCTCCCAAGAGAACGAGCTTCATCAACATCACTACACTTCGTCTTGTCCTCATCGTCTTCATCATTGTCATCATCCTCGTCATCGCCATCGGTGTGGCAGCAGCGCTGTTACACCTCTTTTCCGGCTGCTCCCTCTCCTTTTCCTTTCGGTTCATTTTCTTCCGAAACACGAGCGGGATTCGCACCCACTGCTACGCAACTGACTTCCAGCGATGAAGACCTCCGGGCCTCCAGTTTTGCAGGGGAACCTGCTTCAAAAAATTCACCCTCTAGCTCACAGAACTGGCCTTCCAGGGGTCCGTTGGCTGTGTACAACCAGATGGTCAGGGATGCCAAGCTTGTGGCGGGTGACGTGAACCAAGAGAACGTGTTGCAGGCGCTGCAGAAGGTGTATGATGATATCATGACCCATGTTGTTCTGCGTACCAATTCATCCTCCTCCTCTTCTGGAAATTACGATGAATCGTCCAGCAGTGGCAGCAGTGCCGGTGCAGGTTGGGGTGGGGGAAGATGGCTGCTGTCAAGCTTGTTGGGTGGCCGCAGAAGCAGCAGAGCAGATGCAGCGCAGTGGTCTCCCGTACGCGGGTTGTATTTGTATGGTGGTGTAGGAACGGGGAAGACGATGCTGATGGACATGTTCTATGACGAGCTACCGCCCGATCCTTCCGACTCGCTTTCCTCGTCCGGTGCTGTGTTAAAGAAGCAGCGCATCCACTTTCACGATTTCATGATAGATATTCACCGAAGGCTGCAGAAACAGAGGGGCAAGGCGGATCCGTTAGATGCGGTTTCCGATGAAATTGTCGAGGAGGCAACCGTTCTCTGTCTTGACGAGTTCATGGTTACCGATGTGGCCGATGCCATGATCCTGAATCGACTGTTTCGTCACCTCTTTTCGAAAGGATTGATCCTCGTCTCGACGTCCAACAGACCCCCAGACAGACTGTACGAGGGTGGGCTGCAACGGAATCTGTTCCTCCCGTTCATCGAGCTCCTTAAGGAGCGATGTGTTGCACATGAGATCCGTTCGAAGACAGATTATCGCAAGCTCACGGATGCGCAGCAAGGGTTGTGTTTCCTGGGTCCGAATGGTGCGGGACTCCTTGAGGAGAAGTTCCGTGCTCTGACGGGGGGTGCATCCATTGACCCACCCTCGTTTATAGTGGTCGCAATGGGCAGGAAACTGCACATTCCCAAGGCAGCGAGAGGTTGCGCCTACTTCAAGTTCCACGAACTCTGCGAGCAAGCGATTGGTGCTGCGGACTACTTCTCTCTTTGCCGTGAATATCACACGATTTTCTTAGAAGGTGTTCCGAAGCTTGGCGCGCACAACCGGTCCGCCGCGTATCGATTTGTCACGCTTGTTGATGTCATGTACGAGCACCGAACAAGGTTTGTGCATTCAGCGAAAGAATCCCCTCTAGTGTTGTTTGAGAGGATAGTCACTTTGGCAGACTCCAAAGCGGCGGGAGGTGGTCTTGGTCCTGATGTATGCGTCGACAATGAGCTTGGCTTCGCTAAGGACCGGACAATAAGCAGGCTAACAGAGATGCAGAGCATAGAGTACATAGAAGTATGGCAGAAGAATTATGCAGACAGGGGGGTGTCAGCAATGGACACCGGACTTGGCACTGCTACAGGTGCCAGTGTTACGAGGAGGAGAACAGACATCGAACGCCCACACTTTGAAAGTGCTGTGGAGTAGCACTTATGTCCACAATCGTTAGTTTCTCCGATGACAAGTGTTGAAAAGGTTGGCGTGGCGTGGTTGGACCTTTATTAGTAGTGTAGTGCCTTGGAGTTGTATTGTTGATTCTTCCGATCACTTTCTGATGTTTCTGTTCACTATCTTTAATAGATAATCAGGATGCTTTGTGCGAGGCTTTGCATCTCAGAGTAGTATACGCAGCAAAGTGTCCATGGTGCGGAGTGGGTGCAATACACATATGCTACCCTCCTCGCCGCACCACCGTCTGTTCCTGTCGTATGCCCGTCTCGTACAATATTTGTTACGTTAGCCAGGCTATGGACACCTGGCGCTTTTGTACAATACAGCAATGGGTGCATGCCACTGGAGTCAAAGGTATTGCACCGGTCGGTCAGACAGTCGGGCAGGTGTTGGATGAGCTGATGGCGCTGCCAACCGTGTTTGTTTTCCACAGCAAGGCAGAAGATCAGGGGCGAAACTGCAAAGGCAGGTTTTAGGGAAAAGTCGTACCTGACAATGTTTTGGGCCATGGGGGAGATGTGGACATTGGACATAAATGAAGAGCACAGAGGGCTACTGGCTCGTTGCTCTGCTTTGAGTGCCTGATGGTGGTGACGGAGCAAGAACAGAAGACCTTCCATGTCCACACACTAACCCACCTGCATCATGAATGACACACACATGGCGGCTATCTGCAACTCGACAGGGGGAACACAGGGGGAGGTGTGCACATGCACACACAAGAGGG